CAATTCCGTAGTAGGCAATAGTGGGATATTTATGCTGAGATAAACATTGTTAATGATTGTGAGGCCTGTGGCCAATACGCACCGTTTATCGAAAGGGCAGTTCGAGACTGACCAGCAATAAACACGAACTCACCAAAAAACATGAACTCACCAACACCGGGATTGTTTACCACCATCTACATTTTGTTAAGTACAAACAAAAAATATATTTTGAACAGAGATTTATAAACCAAACGTGTTTTATTTATTGATAAGATCCCACATACCGTGTTCTAACCCCCCAGCTACGGAAAATTTATCCATAAGGACCAGAAAACCTTCCCTGGATAACTAATATAGTAACTAGGTTCCCCAGCCACGTTACAGTATTATAATTTTATGTACACAAAACTCCAGTAGATAGCCAAACAAAATTTTAAAACGAATGTTATTGATAGATAATTACAATATAGGTTTATATTGTTATTGCGATTATGTATTTCAAATTTCAATATGAATACAATAAATCGCAAAGTATATTATTATTATTTTTTTGTTCTAAAAATATGTAGAACGTTTATTTAAAATATTTATTATCGCTGTGCTATAATATATAACTCACACATACAACTAATATTGATATATTGCATAATTAAATTTAAAATCATGTTTTTAAATAAAATATAAAAAATTGAAAAGATATTATAAATTTAATAAAACATTTAGTTTAAACTATATATACACAAATGTATACCGATTACCGATAACGTTGTTTAAAGTTCAGCTAGAATCAATTTATTTAACTTTTGAACTATTAACACGCATTTCACAAAACCCCTTTGCAAAAGTTTTCTTCAGAATTTCAAAACCACAATGTTTATAAAAAGTAAAATAAATACAAGACAGAGTCATTATTTTAATTATGTTATTATTTAAAAAAAACTTTAAGTAAGTACCTATGATAATACAACGAAACAATTTTTTTTTATTTTATAATTGCTTTGAAAAATATTTTTTATTTATTTATACTTTAATTAAAGCTCGAGGCCAGATTTCTATTGAGAATTATCTCGAATTATTAGTTATTTTGATAATATGCTTTCTCTAAAAGAATTATTTTATTAATCTGCAATTTTATTTTTTTCCAAAAATAATTTGTTTTTTAACTAATAAAGGAAATAATTTTCAAATGATTTATCATTAAATTCAGTATCTATATAATATTCATTAAATTACTTTTTAGTATAGTATTTATCATGATTTTTTTTTTTTTTTTTTTTTGTTAATTTAATAACTATTTTTATAGTTTCTATAAGTAACACACGTTTTTTTTTTTTTTTTTATGGATATTGAGTGATATTTTTACAGTAAACACTAAATTATAAATGATATATTCAAATATATTTAGATTTCATAATTATATTGTAGATATTTGTTTTATTATTTTAATATTTAATCTTCCATCGTTTAAAAATAAATATAACTTAGTTTATTTTCACTTATAATAATTTATGTAAGTATTGGATTTGATAAATAAATTAGAATATCTAATTGAAATACATTAACATAATATGATTATAATAAATAATAACTAATTTTCTTGAATTTCTAAATATCTTCAACCATTCTAGAGAATTCTTAGGTATTCCCAATAAGTTATGTATCCGAAAATTATTAAACCCTAAATTTGTTGTAAAATATATATTATACAAATATGTTATTTTGTATAAGTATTAAATTATTACATAACCTTCGTCTAATAATATTTTTTAGACCGTAGCATATTTACAGAGTTATATTAAAGAAATATAAGATACCTGTCGAAGAAATTCTATACACGCCACTAATTTTAGGACTAGGTAATTTAAAAGATTCAATAAAACAGACAAGTAATAATAAATTAAACTTTTAGCGATATCTTAACTTACTATTTTTTTATTAGCTTACTACAGAAATAATGCACTTTTAAATTATGATATAATAAATTTAAATATCAAATCTAGATTAATGATAAGATCGCCTACTTGCACAGAAGACACTTTGTTACCAGACATGCGCATGTCTTACGAGAATAATCGTGCGATAAAAATGTCATTATAATTATAATAAATTTACAAATGTATAAATTTGTAAATAATTATGAGTCATGCAAATATTTATTTTCACGAAAAATTCTTTCAATTCCTCGAACCCAGAATCTAGGTACCTGCACACTGATTGATATTTTTTAATATTCAAAAAATATTAACAAAAATGATTATATCTAAACCATTTTAATATAATGTAATTATAACAAAACTGATCAATTAAGTTAGGTAACGGTTCATTAAACTACTGTGAGAAAGTTATTTATTTTTATAAATTATTCATGTGAGTTCATTAGACATTTTTTTTTTTTTTCATTTACAACATACAGCTATGTATTGTGTATAAATGTTTTTCGTATTTTCTCTATTATTACTTAATGACAATTTGATTTTATATACTAACAGTTTAAAATATATTATTTCTACATTACCTATGTTTTTTTAGTATAATTTTGTTCATAAAATAAAGATTACCACTTTTACAATACAAGAGTAGCTGAGTTTAGTTGACTGAAAAAAACAGGGAATATCATAATTTTACGTCAAAGGTTTCTTTTAATATTTTATTTCAGTTTTTTTTTCCATACGAGTGGATAGTGAATAAAATTAAGTGGTACTGTTTAGGGAAAGATTCAAGGAAAAAAATAATTTTGTTGTAACTAGTATAATAGTGGTAAAGTGTTTTGAAATCTGCTTTCGGCATATTTATTAACATAGAAACGAAACTGTATATTATAAGCACCGTGGTTCGCGTAGTCCCTGAATTTGCGAACACATACACACAAATGCATAATTAATGGACTCTGGACGACTGGACTCAGGTATATGCAGTAGTGTAGTTATGTAGTAAAGTAATAAGTGAAAAAGGTTATAATACATGTATTACCAATTATTACGGAATAAACATTGTAGTATATTATTATGTATAAATTATATTATATTTGAACATTGTATTTGAATGATATACATTTACAGTATAAAAGATTTATTTATGTAAAATCATTTTTGTTGATAATTTTATTGTTGTAAATATTTAATTTTTTTATAATTTTTATGGTAATATGTTACACGTATTGACGTATATATTATATACTAGTTTAAACGATGATTAAACATCAGTTGGTCTGAAAAACATCAAAGAGAATATTTAAAAAATACGTTAAATATTCTGTTTTGTATAAATTTGTAAATATAATACCGGGTCTTATTCAAAATCTTAGAACTTGTAATAAAAATATTTGAATAATTTCTTTAAAAATTGTTTTTAAATATGTCCATAATTATTATTTATAATAAAGTAAAGGGCTTAAAATTTTAAAGCATCATGCCTATAATGCTAAAATTTGCATATTTGTATAAAATATCAAAAATAAATTATAGATTATAGCAATATTTAAATACGGTAAGCAGAAAATTTAATTTATGATCGAAAAAACAAAATTTAAAATATTGTGATATTTAAAATTTTTGACAATTAATTAATTTTCTAATTTTCTTAGATTTTTTGATTTACCTTAAAAATTATTTATATCATATCAATAAAATTATGTAGAACACGTAACTTCTAATTAATTGACAAGTAAGTATGTAAAACGTTTAACATTTTCTGAATTACAACTTGTGTTCAAAAATTATTTTGTTTCATTTATTTTATAATTGTACTTTGCAACATTTAGTATAACAAAATATAATATGCATGGATAATGGATATATACTCGTATATTTTAACTCGATGAAATGAACACAATTTTTCTCATCAGAAACACAACCCACACAAAGAATATATTTTAATATATAAGTTGAGACCGTCAAAATTATAGATAATCAAAGCTACGAATTCCTTTGTTCTCTCTGTACCTCATATAAGAAGATTAAGGAACCAAGTTCGGTCAATAATTTATTATTTTACAGAATTTCTAATGGTTAGTATGTACATATTATAAATATTTCATACACTTTTATGAAAGTGCATTTTGCATTAATTTTTTTTCATAAAATATTCTTATTCAAATATATTTTTATTATATTTTAATAGATTATTACTATTTTTCTGGGAATCATACAGATTATAGTTTTTTTTTTAAATATTTTTACCGAATGACTTTTTTTTTGAATTGTTTGAGATCGTTTTTATCGGTATATGACTTCTTTATGAATAAAAAATAATAAAAATAACCTTATAATTTTGTTTGTTTTTAACAATACTATTTCTAAAGAATAATAACAAACATAACCTTGAGAAAAGTGAATTATAAAATATTTTTTTTTTAGCTATAATCTTGCACGTTGGCATTTTTAAAATCGTATATACTTTGCTCTTTTTTTCTGTATATTTAAGGACTTCATACTTTATATTACATACTGTGCGAGTTTCTTCATGCCTCATCCATGACAATTCCTATAGTAGTAGAACTATAACAAAAAAAGACGGACGTATTTTCAAGTGTCGGAAATTTTTTAACGACCAACTATTTTTTTTTTAATCGTATACGACAGGATTATTGGTAGTACTACTAGTGCTATCACCGTTGTTATCATTACGGTCGTCAGCGGTGGTTGAGGGTATGAACGAACGATGAGCATAATATTAATATATTATTATTATTATTATTATTATTATTATGGTCGTGCCTTAGCGACTGAGGGAGTCGAGCGATTGCTGTTGGTGGAGCGAGTGAAAACGGTACACCGCGTCGACGATGACGGGGTCGCGGCGTTCGGTGACCGTCGGCCCCGGTCGTGCGGCGACGGCGCGGTCGATGGGTTGAAAAAAAAACAACAAAAACGCAACGAAAAAAATACATATATAACGCAATACGACCACCGCCGCCAGCGCTCACAAGGTAGGCGCTGCCGCCGCTTTGCCGAGGCAACGACCAGCGAGGCAGCAGCGCGAGCAGCGGCGGCGGCGGCGATAGTCCTCGCATGAACCCCACCACATTCGGGTCGCGCACAATCATGCGTCCCAAGCTGGAGCGCGTCGTTACCGCGACCGCAGTCTCGTCCCCGTGATAACGCCGACGACATCGCATTGTTATCGGTGACGCCGTCTACGCGATTACCAGACACCGTCACTTTGTTTCGTTTCGTAGTTGGGTTTCGGTGTGTACGGTTAACAACGATAGTATTATAACGTAGCGATATGTCGTCATCGTCGACGACGACGACGATCACAGACGACCGTAGTAATTATTATCGTCGTCACCGCCGTGTAAGTGTAACGACAACCGCAGATGACGAAGCAACAATAATATAATATACTGTTAAACAGATCGGTAGGTGTATTTTTAAACATTTTATCGCAGCAACGTTAAATAATAATTACGTATTTTCGCGACTAACAACATCCTTTGAACCGCGTACGCGTGACGAGTAACGACAGCCACGGACAATCGGACTCGTGGTCTCATTCGTCGGGTCGGTGGACATGTAATGCGGAACGTTTGAACCGGTCGACTAGTGGCTGAGGATACGAAATAATAATATTAATATTACAGTGAGTGGTAAAACACACACCGTGTATCCGTTCTCAACTACTGATCATCAAACTTTTTTTTCCTTGGTTCGGTTCTCGTTTCAAAATATAGGTATAAACTCGACTTTCAAATACTTTTTTAATGTAAACTCAACTCATAAATCTTTGGTAATAAAAAAAAAGGTCAATTGCTGCACTCAATCCCTCAATTTTCATTTAAATATATTAAATGACAATTTAATTCGAAAATAATTAATAACGTATGTCTTATCGTGGACAGTAGATATTTGTTTTCAAGATATAGTTAAACATTAAGACAAATCAGTTCATTTTCATATTGGAATTTTGAAATTAGATTTTAATACTTTTCACACATTATTATCAAATTAATGAAATAATTTTTAGAGTATAATAAGATATCGTTTCTTGAGAGTGTTCTCTGGGCATTGAGGAGTAGTTCTAAATGGTTCTCTAAAATATAAGTTAATATCTATATAATTAAATCTAAGATCAGGATGCTTTATTTTTATTCGAGCCGAGTTTATACTTATTTTTAATTTATTTTTACCTGTAAAATATCGGAACCGAGTTAATATAGTCGCACGGTTCTCAAAATCGTCGTTTGGTACAACCTACCCGTTTCTAGTAAATTTCTAATGATATTTAATTTATTACAATTTATTATATTCACAGAACTATTCCCTGTTTATGCATTTTAAGAACACTCGCCATAATATTATTTTCTATAGAAAATATACAAATTAATATTATGTACAATTAGGAATAATGAGTCTTTTTGATTGATCTCAAATTCTATTATACGCAGGACAAGTTTATTATTTAAATAATAACTTATTGAAACATGGAGTGGATAAAGTACATAAGTATTATTCCTAGCTTCTAATCTCTAAGAAGTCAGTAAAACAGTTAATAGGTCCGGTGCATCCAACTCCTCACTAATAAGTTTAGATAGGAATACAAGTTAATAATCTGAGTCAATAATTGTTATTCGATATATCTAAATTTAACCATTTTAATACCGATGTGTAATGGTAAAATATTAAACTCTTTAACGGGTATCTAGAATATTATTATTGCAGTAGGTATGTGAGAAGGTACATTTCTGGAATTCCAGGCGGAACAACGAGATCGTTTGGCGCGAACCACTCGTTACCGATTCGCATAGCATGTTTGGATTGAAGAATGGGCTAAAACTTAAATTTTTGGATAACCACTAAAAAATAAAATGCATCAATGTTTGGATATAACATGAAAGTTTCAATCGATGATTGTATTTAAATACACGTAAATATGAATACAGTTAAATGTGCTAATAATACTATTTAGTATTTACCTAGTTAGGTACCTATTATTTATGTTGTTTCAAACAATTTTATTTTAATTCAAGATGTATTTTTTAGACTTGTACGAAACACCTACCTAATTTGTAATCATTAGACTTATTCAGAGACATTAATTAGTAGATACCTACATAATAAAATATCGATTGCTCATTATCAGCGTGGACAACGTTATAATGTTATACCGTATATTATAAATTCAATAATGAACTTTAATCATCAGAAAAAGTGAACTCTGATGTTTGCATTAATGATTTATCGCGAAAGTTTCTGAAAAAAAAATATCTTTTTCTTATCGATCGTAATTTTTTACCAGTAAATAAAAGAGTTCAATGATGAATTTGTAACTGTAAGAGCAAGAAACGTTAAAGTCTATTCAGCTAATTTATGTAATAAATCCGTGACTGAAATGATTAATTAAATGTGTTAATTTATGTATTCTTTACTCTGTACAAATATTGAATATTGAAATAAAAACATAATTAAAATTCAATAAAAATACTATTTTTTCAGATATAGCATACTATCTATGGGTTAAATAAGTTAATATTTTATTACATTCTTTTTTTAAACATTCATGGCTATAATTTAACTAAAAAAAATTTAATTTGTTTTATAAATTTATCTCTTTGAATAAAAAATTTAAATAAGCAATTGTACAATTGTTTTAAATTAAATATTTTGTTAATATATTGATATTCAATAATATAATCTTATTATAAACACTTTGGATCACACGTGGTACCAATACATTTTATCATCTAAAATAGTACCCATTGACCATTGAAGTTTTTCTCAATTTTTTTTTATAAAAGCTTCGACTTTATTGGCCTATTTTTACATTGCTGCGTTGTTAAAACCGAATACACAGTTGTTCTACTATAAAAAAATGAAACTCGCTTTTTTTTTGAATCTGATTTATTAACAAAAATTAATTTTCTAAAAAAAAATTTTATATTAGAAATAATTTAGTTAAGTACATAATACATATTATTATTACATTTATTTTGTAATTTTTATTATGTATTAATAATATATTATAAAAAAAAGTTTAATTTGGAAAACAAAAAAAAAATTACTTACCTAGTCTATTCATTTTTTTCATAAATTTATAACTACATTAAAAATTAATTTTGGATATTTTTGACGTAATTTTTATATAAGTATGCTTTTTTACATTTATATAAAAGAAAAAATACTGCCGTTTATTATCTAAACGTAAAGGTAACCTACCCTAATTAAAATTTCATTTTTTATGAAAATTGTTATTAATAGTGAAATTATAAACATCAAATTTTATATTAATCTCAATTAGTATCAAAATGATAACTAAGTAATGTATTTCCTGATATTATTATTTTAGAAATTATTGATAATTGTTTTTTATCACTAATATTATCAACATTGAGCATTCCTTAAACTTTTAAAAATAATTATAAAGTTATTAGTTTTATTTTTAATGTAAAAAATGTTGTTAAGTTGTATAATAAATGAACTAATGCTTAAATTTTAGTTAAATTTAATCAATCGATTTTTCAATAATTATTACTTCAAATTAAAAATCTATAAATTTCATGATACTTTCCCTATCAATGTTTTTGAATTTTATAATGATTTATATATCTTTTTTATACTTAGAATCATTTATGTAATAACCTAATTGTTTTACTAATTGCTATTAGGTAGCTATACGTATACCTTACACATTTTTTCCCAAACACTTGTTTTTATTTTTAAATAAGACATTAAATTCTAGTAAATAATATTTAGTTATTATTAACTTGAAAGTTTAGAACTGTCTAAATCTTTAGTCAAAATTTTCAAAAATCATTCTGAATAGCATGGTCTATCAAAACTGAGTATTGATGCTGAAAGACACTAAAACACTGCTATAGTCGAAGCTATAGTAGTATAATTAACATTCATATCAAGTTATATTTTATTAACAGACTAAATTGTTTTTATCAATTTAAATTTTCCAGTAATAAATATCACATTTTATTTCATTTCAATTTTTTATAATTTTCTTTGTTTTTAAAGCATATTATTTGCATAATTTTATTTGTAATGCATAGCAACCTGATAAATAATAAAATCAATTACTTAATAATAATGATAATATTTTCAACCATTACTAAAGTATACACAAATTACCTAGTATATACTATAGTTATACTATGATACTTTTTCTATTATAACAACTTAATGTTGAATTACGCATTATTAAATTAACTATTATATTTTATTACAAACCCACGAAAAAAAAAAGTATAATAGGTACCTACAAAAAATTTATTTTTATATTATATTTATGCTATTTTTGTGTACTAATTAGACTATAATATTATAATACATTAAATGAATAATTTAGTAGAGAGCTCGGTAGTGAGTTACTACTACTTTGAATTGAAATCAGTAGAAAAAAAGAGAAAAGTTAATAATATGCAAACGTTTACGAAAGTTTTCTTTTGTTCAGTATTTGTAAAAAATAACTAGAAAAAAAATACTAACCAAACAATGCTATACGTACTAGTCTTAGTAGATCCTTGAATTTTTTTTTGTTATATATATATTTATTTAAAAGCTAACATTGATTAATACTGATTTATATTTTAAACATTTTAAAACAAAAATCAATTTTTTGATACATTTTTAAGGTTAAAAAACTAATAAAATTTGCTAAATATCTACCTATGCCTACTGAATAACAAATATATTTTATTAAAAAAAAAAAAGATCTAAAAGCGTATAAAATTAATTAATAGGTATAACTGATGATATTTAGTTCCTATCAATTTAAATTAAACTATTTACCCTTTATATGTAGGTAAATATTATTATTAAATAAAATTTATACTCAATTAGGGAATATACAGTTAATACGATTTTTACAACAAAAAAACGGATTTAGTTAAGATATATTTAAGTATAATTTAATTTTTATTGCCTAGATTTTTTATAAGTACTAAAATATTTAGTATCATTATCAATTTTTAAATATAGCTTTTGAAAATATAACACAACATGCCAAATCTATACAATTAAAAAAAAAGTAATTACATTTAGGTCCATTTTACGATATACTAAATAAACCAAAATAAATTGAACTATCCACATAATTTGCTTATATCTATGTTTGTTAACTTTGTCAACCTCTAATATATGATAATTCATGAAAAATAAAACAAAATATTGTATACTTTTCTTTATTTTAATTTTCATGTTGTTCATTGCAGATCATTAAGTGAAGCAAAATGGCCTCATCACTAGCTATATCGTCTGTAATATTGTTAACATGCTTGGCATGCTACTACAATAGTCTTTATTGTGACTTCGTTTTTGATGATATTAGTGCTATTAAAGACAACCGTGATTTAAAACCTCAAACTCCTGTATGGAACATATTTTACAACGATTTTTGGGGCACGCCAATGCATAAGGTAAAAAATTAATAAATGCATAACTATATTGTTTTTACCTTAAATATACATTTTTTATATTTTAATAAAATTAATAAACCATCTATATTATGTAATTTATTATTGGTCTTAATAATTTATAATAATACTAGGGGTAAATGGTTGTGTTATTTTTATTTCATATAGGTATATTTAACAATTTTTTTTCAGGAACAAAGCCATAAGTCATATCGACCTTTAACGGTTTTAACCTTCAGATGGAATTATATGATTCATCAGTTGGAACCCATGGGATATCACCTTGTGAACATACTTCTTCACGCCATAACAAGTGTTCTCTATTATAGGTAAGTTTTAATCATGTACCTATTCAATAACATATTTGTTATAGCTAAAATTGAGATAAAATTAAATTTTAAATTAATATTTCTTGTAAAATAAAAGTAAAGGATTGTAATTTATTTATTTTTGTGGTACAAATCTCATTAACTATTACAACTTTGTATTCACACACGTGAATCTGAGAGGTCTAGCTGTGTAGATTACAAAATGTGTAGAATTTGACCCCGTACGAAATTCTCCTTCCATGATAAAATTATTAATCCCAGCAACAGTATCCGAAAAGCAAAACTTTGTGAAAACTTTGCACCTCCTAAAACCACTATGGGCCCTTTAACTTTGAGCGACTCTATACCTTAGAATTCCTTATAATTTACATTTATCCTTTTCTACATTAATAATTACCCAAATATACATTTATTCTGTATTTATATAATACACCAAGTTTTAGTTTAAATACGTGTTAAATTTGTTAAAAAATATTTTTCGATGAATGAATAATATAATAATATTTTAATTAATAGAATAACGTTTTTAACTAAAACAATTATATCATTATTAAACTAACAAATCTCTAAACTCAAAATAAAATAAAAATATTATTTTATGTACATAAATTATTATTTGTTTATATTTAGAAGATAACTTTTTTTTTTATTTAAAAATTAATACTTACAATCTCAACAAAAATAAATACAATACGTAAATAAGTAAATGCGTATGGAGGAATGAGTTATGAGTCGTGGGTGGGAAAATTATCCCACCCATATGTCCTAATTGTACCCAGATGTACCTTACCTAGATGTTTATTTGATATAATAGTAATAATTGTATTATATAAAATTATAGGAAAATAAGAAATTCAAGCAATTTATTTATTTAACATTGTGTAGAAAATAAATACGGCATAAATCTCAAAAAAATTATTGTTTATAGTGATCTAATAAATAAAATTGAACCACTTCAATTTTATTTATTAGATTTTAATATTTTTGGAATTTATAGAATTTTTAAACTCAAAAATCTAATACATTGTAAATCTGAATTTTTATAGAAAAAAATATAAAACCCCATCTAAAAGAATTTTAATCTCTTTCCATAGGTCTGTTACCATATATTTTACTTCTAAAAATATAATTGCAATTAGATTAATGAGATACTTGAATTTTATTTTATTTTTTAATATATACTTAGAAGTCCTATAACCATTTAATCAATTTACGTAATAACATTAAATGTAATGAAATATATTTTAAGTTTAGCATATGAAATATTCTGTATAAACGCATCGTTGTTACGAAAAAAACCTTTTCAATAAAAGTAGATTTTTTTACCCTATTACTTATCCTTTTCGGGTTTGCATGACGGTTAGACAGATATTTCGATTAAACAGTTTGAGAGAATGACCTTCTGGCCCCTTATTGTTTTAAGAAAAAAAAACCTTAGTAAAACAATCTTTTGTATTTTATTCTAGTGCATAAAATGTTTACGATTTTAAAAACTAACATATTCATGTAAACATGAATATTTTGTTTATATTTTAATTTAATTAAATATAAACATATTTATAAAATATTACTAACAAATATTATGTTTGTGTGTGTTGGAGGGGGGGGCATTCAATTTATATACTAGGTTCCAGGAGTAAATATTATATTGACTGTTCAATTTATCATGTCTTATAATATTTTTATACTTAAAATTGTTTTATTAGTTATATATTATTATAATATAATCATTAATTATACACATGGGTTTTAAACTAGGTATTCAAAGTTTTTAAATATTTTATAGTGGTTTTTTACTATTATGTTTTTAATTATTAAGCTTAAAGGTTTGAGTAGGGTCATATACTATCATTATTACTTCTGTTGTACCCTGTATATATTAAGCACCCTGTATGCGATATGTGTATTCGCTGGCTAACGCAGTGGCCTACGTGACTGTGGGAAGTGCGTTGGTCAGCGAATTATCGTGCGACAACCTGTACGGTTCCCGGACGGACCGTGTCAGTCGGAGTATTGGACTCTAGAGTAGAACCTCCATTAGTATGTAGACAGAACCCTTAATATAAGCAAATTCGTAATTAATTAAATAAAATCAAATAGTGTTTATAAACTTAAATCACA